AAGAAGAAGAAGAAGAAGAAGAAGAAGAAGAAGAAGAAGAAGAAGAAGAAGACGAAGAAGAAGAAGAAGAAGAAGAAGAAGAAGAAGAAAGACACAATCTCAGGAAAGCAACCTGAGAACACTGTAGGCACATATCCTTCAAGCTAGAGAAAGTTCAGAGTTCAAAGTCAGATTATATACTGGGCATGTGGATGTCCCCTTATTCTATCCTTGGCATCTCTATGTAGGTCTGGAAAAAAATCCTGTCTAAAATTCTCAAAAACTGCTCCTAGTAAGTGTAGATAATACTCAGAATAATCTCAGGAAAGCAACCTGAGAACACTGTAGGCACATATCCTTCAAGCTAGAGAAAGTTCAGAGTTCAAAGTCAGATTATATACTGGGCATGTGGATGTCCCCTTATTCTATCCTTGGCATCTCTATGTAGGTCTGGAAAAAAATCCTGTCTAAAATTCTCAAAAACTGCTCCTAGTAAGTGTAGATAATACTCAGAATATTGTTTGATTCAAAATAAAGCGACTTCTTAACCTAGCAAGCATTTTCCTAGTTTAGAAACACAACTGCAGTCAAAATCTTTTAGCCACAGATTCTTTAATTGTTTATCATGTTGGCCACACTATCTATTGTTTACAACAATAGGTTAATTAATAATAGTTCCATTTACTATGATAACAAGATAGTAATTGGCAAGAAACTGTAAAAGTATCATATAAACTACCGCTTCTGTTGTAAATACTTACCTTCCAACAGAACAAACAGCTTTGCAGGTGTAGCATGGTTTTCCACCAAGGTTTTCAAGATCATACAATACAATAACCCCGTCTGAACCACCTGATAACATGCTGTAAAAAAGAGAAACCCAGATTTAGAAAACACTTCAGTCACTCCCGACCCTGGCCAAAATTGTCTTGCGTAGCTACACAAATGGCATAACTCTGAGAACCAATTTGCATAACTAAAAAATTTCAATTAACATTATCTGCTGCAGACTAAGTTCTACTCTGTGTACAACAGAATGGCTGAAATACAGTTGGCACAAGTACACCATGTAAAATAAATGGTGAGATGCTATCACTGGGGCCACTAATCTTTATTTAATTAAATTTAAGACTTCCTGTTTTCTTGTTTTCAGGTTCTGAAGTTCCCAAAGAACCTGTTTTACCCTGGGCAAGCATTTGGGAGCTTTTGAGAGCAGGGGGGAGAGCCTTTAAAATTAGAAAATCACTGCCGGTGGTCCTACTGCCAGATTGGGACTGCTGGCACTGATTTGGTGGTGATTTTCCAATTATTTATTTAACTTATATATTTATTTATTTAACTTATATGCTACCCACTCTACCCAAAGGCCTCTGGGCGGCTTAGGAAAACTCCCCTCTCACCCAAAGACTCCCAAAGAGTTCCACAAAAGGGATCCCTAGGGAGTCTCAGAATCTGAAATGGCAGGGATAGAAAATTTAAATTTTATTAAAATAAAGAGTGACAACATCATTACCATTTAGGCAGCATAGTTGCATCAAGTGGATTTCAGCCAATGTCTATAGAAATTTCTTAATTTGAAGAGGCCTCAGGTTCTAAAAAGTTCAATCTTATTAAGATATTATTCCAAGTATTAGCTTATGAATCTGTTTTGAATGGAAATATTCTTCTGGAAAATCTGAAGATAAATTAAATCTATGGGAATCTAATTTAACATATCCGACTTATGCTTAGTAAATGTCCATTTTACATGTGTTGTTACTATATAAGACTATTTTTTGGAATATTTAGACTGAAATATTGGATTAAGACAAGGATTCAATAAATGATATGTAATGTGGTCTAAATGCTAAGAGTTACAAAAAAGCTGTACTGGATTATATGTAAATATTTTAAGACATAACAGCTCAATAGCATATTTTCCCTACATTGCTCTGTTAAACAAACTCACTCTTCAATTACAATATCTAAAGAGCTATAGAAGTCTTTCTTAACCTGACATCCCGCAGATGTGTTGTTCAACTTTCATCATCACCAGACAATATGGAAATCTGGGAAAGTCTAGGCTACAGGATATGGGAGAAATCCTGCCATACTGACAAAATTCAAGATAAATCAGATAGACTCTCACAGGATACTTCAGGTATTCTAGCAGAATATTCTGTCGGTAAAGATATGTTCAGATAAAACTTCATCTTGCATGTCTCTGGGCCATGATTATGCTACGTCAACAGGAAAACTTTACACAAGCCCTAGAGCTGGTACAGAAATTTTGGGTGGAGAGGGAGCCAAACAGCCACTTACATGGTCAAACCCTGCTTATGCTGTCACACAGCATAGCACAGGATATGGCATGTGTCAGCATCCCATCACAGGTCATCAGCATCAGTATACAAGCTTTGCCCAGGGAAAACATGATTCAGAAGACAGGAAGATGGCATGAAGTCATTTCTGGTTCATGGTCCCTTTTCTTTCCTTCCTGTGCTCCAAGCAGTGCTTGTGAGTAGCTCATTGAATCTGACAATGCAGACTCACTGGAGCTAGAAATAGCAGGACATATTGCTGCCGTGGTCACTGGAATTCTTAGGTGAATGTGAGGCAAGGAGATTGCTGTGGGTGCATTTACATCAGTAAAAATTCACCGTTTTTCTCCATGAGTGGATAGTAGTATGTGGATGGTACAGTAGCTTTGGTAGATATTAGTTTTGCTTCCATGCATGCCTCAGTATACCTGATGTTCTCCCACTTTTGGGGGATTTTCTGAAGGGTCTCTCCTGATTTTCTAGAGCTAAATAAGTATAGGATGTAGTGGGTGTGGCACTTCCATCTCTCTCTCTCTCTCTCTCTGTGCTTCATCATAAACAACGCAAAAGGCTTGCTCTTGTTAGGCTGCAATCAAACACATGAGGGAGTACATATGCTCCCTTCCCTGAGAGGGAGTCCCACTGAAGGCTTCAAGGCTTACAACTGAATAAATATGTATTAGAAACACTTGTTGTTTAGTTGTGTCTGACTCTTCGTGACCCCACGGACCAGAGCACGCCAGGCCCTCCTGTCTTCCACTGCCTCCCGGAGTTTGGTCAAATTCATTCTGGTAGCTACGATGACACTGTCCAACCATTAGAAACACTAGCTATATGTATATAATAGATACAAATAGGATTGCCCTGCAAATTTAAAGATGGGAAAGTGAAAGCATGGAAACTTTTAACATACTGTACTGTACAAAATTTGGCAGACATAGTGTCCAAAACCATGTTGTCAAATCAGACATTTCATTCTGTTTTTCCCTGGTAAACAAATGGTCTCTGCTGCAATTCTTGGGGGAGCACGTGCATGCTGGCTTGATGTGCGTGCCAAAAGCATCGTAGTAAGGAAGCTTTGTTTACCATAGAGGAATAGATTTGGTTTAATCAATAGAATTTTAACCATGAAGACTAATGCATTAACATTTACTATAGACATAGATCCTTTCTAGCAATAATTGCCTGAAAAGTATTGGATGTAATTCCAAAACTACCTATTTGAACAGAATTGGGAGTCTACATTAAAGTACCAAATAAATAACTTCCATAAATCCACAGGTACTCTACTGGAAAATGCAACAATGAAAAAAAATCTGATGGTAAATTTTCTTCTGAATCACTGATTAGAGAACCTAAAATTTCAAACATATATTAATATTTGGTTTTCTAAAATTCTTCATAATAAAATGTTGTATAATGTACATACTATCGACTTTCAACAGGTTCAATATCCAAGGTATTAATACCACTTCCATGGATCCTTTCTATATCTCTGTCCTTGTTCAACTCCAAGCTCAATACCCTTTAAAAGAAGCAAACAAACAAATAAAAGACCTTAGCCATTGTGAAAAAAATAAATATGAATTACACAATTTCTATAATTATCAGTAAATCCAATCTGTGTCACCAGTCACACACTCTGCTTAAGAAAAATCAATTCTGAAACTTAGAAAATGCTAGTTGAGTGTATTTAAACAATACATGTCTGCATCAAACATTATAACTCTAATAATAATTGTGTGCTGGTAAGTCAATTCATATTTATGGTGATTCTTTCCAAGGTTTTCTAGGTAGAGTACTCAGAAGTGTTTCACCACCCCTTTCTTCTGGAGGTGTCCTGGGACTATGCAGCTTGCTCAAGGCCACACAGGCTGGCTCTTCAGTGAAGCATAGTGGGGAACTGAACTCACTTTGCCTCGAGAGGAATCTGGATAGGCCAGATACCTATTGCACTGATCTATACAGCCAGCATAACTGTAACTTTAGGCCCACAATTCCAGAAACACTGGCAATAACCAGACAGTTTTATGTTATTTATGCATTAGCACTGAATTATACACTTCCATTAAACTACAAAAGCAGAGTGAATGCTGTGCGCATTTACTTGAAATTAAATCCCACTAGAGTCATTGCACAGAGAACTGCAGACTTTAATTTCAAGTGATATGTAGATACTAATAGTGAATCTATGGACACTTAGCGGTCAAGATTATGTGGAAGATAAATGAAACTCTTTTCATCAAGCTAATATTTCAACATTCACAATAAATTGCTAGGTTTTGTCTCAGTCTTCAGATTTTCCATGCCTACTGGGCAAAATGTTGTTATAAATTTGTCCTGCACAGACTGGATTAAACACCAATAGTTTTTAATATAAATTAACTGAAAGTTTCCTATCACCATCTTAAGGGTAATATTTAATATAAATTATCTGAAAGCTTCCTGTATCACTTTCCAGTGTCCGAGTCTCCCTAGGGTTTCCTTTTTTGCCTGCAGAAGCCTTTGGGAGTCTCAGGTCAAAGGTGGTAGGTTTTTAATAGCCAAAATCACTGCCAGATTGGCTCCCTTGATGGCAGTATCCAGAGACTTCAGCTTGTGGATGAGTTGTCGGCTTCCTTGACCCCCAACTGTGGAGTGCCCCGGGGGTCATCAACATCCCCAATGCTCTTTAGCATCTATGTGAAGCCACTGGGGGAGGTAATCAGGAGATCTGGAGTAAGGTATCCTCAGTACACTGTTGATATGCAACTCTCTCTCTCTCCTTTACCACCTTTGCAGCATATGCTGTCTGGATGCTTGAGAGATGCCTGGCTTCGGTCTCGGAATGGACCAGGACCAATAGGCTCAAATTGAGCCTTGATAATATAGAGATTTTGCTCCTAGGGGCCCTCTTGGATAGGTTGGGGGAGATTACCCCTAGACTGGATTGCACTGTCTTCATATTGAAGACAGTGCAATCCAGTTGCACTGTCTTCACTTGGGCATGATTCTGGACTTGACTGTCTTGGGATTCCCAGGCTGTAGCTGCATCTTTAATCAGCTGCCTTTAATAGTTGAAGCATATTGCCCAACTCTGGTTCTACCTAGACAAGGAGCTCTCAGGATATTGGTGCATGCATGGGTCATCTTCTGGATTGAGTACTGTAATGCTCTCTATGTGTGGCTTCCCTTGAGGCTGACCCAGATACTGGAGCAGGTTTGGAATGTGACAGACTGGTGGCTTGTGTGAGCAAGTCGGATCATACATCCTCAGTCCTGGTTTGCCTGCACTGGCTATCAGTTGCATCCTAGGTCAGATTCAAGGTACTCATACTCACCTATAAAGACTACCGTTTGGGACCACACTACTTCTCAGATTGCCTTTTCCCAAGGTCATCTACCTACACCACCAGGTTCCCCAGGCAATGCTCCTCCAAGTGGCCATTCCAAAGGAGGACAGGAAATCATCCACAAGAAGTAGGGTCTTCATTGAATGGCAACAAGAGTTCAGAATCAACTCCCAATGGAGTTGCACCAGGCCCCTTCCCTCCCATCATTTAAAAGGCTCCTGAAAACACTGCTCTTCAGAAGCGCCTTTCATTGCAACCCTCCCTGATATTATGACTCGCTTTCCACCTTTTATCTGCAAATTATGTATCCTGTAGTTTTTCATGATATTATCTATTTTTATTTTATTCCTATGGTTTGTTGTCTTTTTTACCAGATTCTAAACCATCCAGAACAGTGCATTGGGGCACTAATGGGGCACTAATGATACATACATACATACATACATACATACATACATACATACATACATACATACATACATACAGACATACATACATGCATGCATGCATGCATGCATGCATGCATGCATGCGGTAATCCCAATCCCAGTGGCAATTTTTAAATGTCAAAGGCTCTCCCTTGGTCCTAAGGCTTCCCCAGGGAGGCCTTAAGAAGTCTTGGACACTGAAAAATGGGGGAAACAGGAAGCTTTGGATTAATTTACATGACATATTACCAGTTTTATATGTGGTTTATGCAGCATAATATTATGCAATTGGATTTTGCTCACAGATGTACAGGTACAATCCCACAAAAGCATACTTAGGAACAAACCCTCTTGTTAATAAATATAAAACTCAATGAACTACAATGTACAGATCCAAAGTTACTTCCTTAGTACTAAAATTATACAAAAATGGCATTCCCTTCTTTGATGCACATCTTAGCATGGTGAGGGGGTTTGAGTATGTCCAAAATAAAAAAAATGAAATCCAAAAGAAAACAAAATACGGTGCTAGAAGATAAGGCTCCCAGTTTGGATGGTACTAAATCAGCTACTGGGGGAAATGCTACCGGTAAGTACAAATAGCACTATTCTTAATGTAGCAGCCTGACTAAAACTGATGTTCAGCTGCTGATGTGCACAGATGTGAAAGGAAAATTTGAAGCTGCATGATGAATAGAACTGGAAGTTGGGAGTCAAATTGTGAGATTTTGTTTGTGAAAAAACAGTCCATCAGGTCTTGTAGTTCTTTTCTTTCTTAAGAAATTACAAGGAGCAAAAATAGCCTTCAAAATTACTTCTGAAAGGTAGAAAACTTTCCAAGCTTTGCTTTTTAACAGCAGCACAACTTAACTAATGATGTTAAAAACCAAATAATGGGAACTTCTAGTGTTGCATCTCTGAGCAAAGTTGCTTTTTCAGTGGCAAGACAAGCAATGGAACAGTACTGTTGTATTTGAAAAGAATGAAAATGAGTCTAGAAAACATTGTTACAAATACAGCAAGTCATATGGGATTCTAAGTACTTTAATTTAATTTATTTAAGCACATAGTCAAACAAGCAAAGGAATGAATGCTGTTAATCATTACAGCTAGTATTAACTCCGAGTAACCTAGCCTATTAGAAAAAATAATATACAAAAAAATTAATGTACAGCAAGACTGTTCAATCTGAGTCAGCAATGGGTTGAAGAGACAGAAACAAAAGCAAATAATGTATTTCAGAGTTTGAAGAATACCAAAGACTCCCAACTGTTCCCATTACAGTACTAGTAAAATAAGTATGTTCCTTTGTGCCAACACATATTATCAAAATTACTTGAGAACAAATACAGAAAGTATTCCAATTGTTCTCCGCTACCGCCATCTAGTGGGATAAAAGCTAATTACTATTCTTGGGAAAACATCGTACAGTATTTTCATTCACAGGCTCTTTATTCTGCCACCATAGCAAGATGACCTGTTTGGAATGGATTACAAGCTGTGTTTTCATTTCCACACTCATTATCCATTTTGTACTGAATATGTCTCTAGCAGGTAGGCAAGAGGACAGCGGGGTTTATTCCCTGCTCTCCAAGTGCAACTAGATTAGATGTTATTAAACATGTACTTTATAGAAGAAAAGATATTAAGAAGTTTTTGACTGTTAGTGCCAGAGTAGCAGAATGGAATCTGGCCATACAATAATGGCTAAGTACCAGCTGAGAGTGTTTAATGAGACCTAACTGAAGATGAGCAAGCTATACGTGATGTCACTACAGAAAATGTATAACGATCAGTTCAGTTGCTCAAAACTGGCGAGAAGAGAAAAAATAGCACCATGGTCTACAACCCATTATTTTTCTGCTGACTATGCTCTTTCCTTGATGGATGCACACTTTATTGTGGTAATGGAGTCTGTGTATCAGTGAAGCTGAGCGCAATGCCATCAGGAGGCCAGATTACATTGAGCCTGGGCTCCTAGCAGGAAAAGCACTCAAAGAATTTTGTTTATTTCAAATATAATTTTTAAGCCACTGAACAGGTGGCACATGTAGAAATTATAAGGATGCAAATACAGAAATGAAATAAATGATATAACTGGAAACAAGAAAAGAGAGGAAACTCTATTTTCTCTGCCAAAACAAGATCAGGAACAGTCTACAGGAACTGTCAGTACCAAAGGAAGAAAAAACAGTAAATCATAGTACCGGCATATAATTAGAATAACATTCATGAAGAATTTAAAGATCATGTCAGGAATATATTTCATCATGAAGCTCACTGGCCACAAATGAGAAGAACTATGGACTCAAACCAGAAATATCATCAGGAAACAATGCAAAAGACTATTCCTGTAAGAAAAAAGGAAACAAAAGCCTCAGTAACCAAGGAAACTCTCAAGACTGTAAGAAGAGATGAGGCGCAAACATTCAGAGCAACTTTTCAGTAACTTGCATGTAGGGCTAGAAAAAACTATAATTATTATTACAACGAAACAGCAGAGGACATCCAAAAAAATAAAAGGAAAAAAAGGAAAAACCAAGAGATCCATGAAAACAAAGTGAAATTCTATAATAGGTGGCCATCTGTTTCTGCTGTATGCACAGAGGTCTTAAGTGTGAAATGTTTAATGTGACCAGGAGTTGCTCATGAATGTAGATGCCGCTGTAGGATAGAGCATATTTTACGTCTGACACACTCACAGCAGGAGAGTACTGTATGTCTCGTGTCAGTTGCTCCACTTCACCCTAATACAGGCAACTGGAGGAAAGAATGTAGTGATGCACAAGCATCATCTGCAGTTGAGAGATTCCTAACGAGGCAAGAGTTTGCTGTTCTACAGAATCCTCCTCATTCCTATGCCCTCTTTTGCAAGTCATGCTCAATGTCCGCGTGCTGGGGGGGGGGGGGCAGTTCTGCGTCTCCTTTGCACATTCAATGGAACCCACATGGAAACCGCACACAGGCTGACCTGGTTACAGGGAAAGCCTCCCAATGCGATTCCACTCCCTATCGACCTGAGACTATACAGTATAGTACATCCGTGGCCCTCCCGATGTTGCTGAACTACAGCTCCCATCATCCTCCACCACCACTGGCTGTGGCTGATATAAGCTGGAGTCCAATGACTCTACCATGAATCACACGTCACCCAAGCCACGGTAGGCACTCCTTCTGAACGTCAGGAAAAGGACACCTCCCCACCACCGGGAGTTTAGCGACTTCCAGGGCCGGGCATCCAACTCGGCCACAACCACACGGCGCCGGGACGGGTGTTTCCCCTCAGGGAACCGCAAAGCCGAGCGAGGCTTTGTCAGTCAAGGCGGCCAGCCGGAGGCAAGCTCTAGTCTAGCCTATCCAGAAATACGTTTTACCTCCTGGTAGACTCAGCCCGGCGAAGCCGTAGAGGGTCGTCCAAACCCGTTTGGCGGGAATACATAAAACTCAACATGGTGAGAAGCAGCAGAGACCCACAACCACAGCCCTCCTTCCCGGTTAAGGGATCATTTTGCCCCCATTGGCTCCAAAGGCGACTCTCGCAGCCAATCCGTTGGGTCGTTATTAAAACGTCGCCTTCTGCCACCTGATAGGCGCGGGTAAAGACAACAAACCCGCGAATGGTAGAGCCTGCCTGCCTGAGGGTACCATAGAGAAAAAAATGATAGACAGGTAATTCAGAATGCCTGGCTGTCCTCGGTTTTTAAGAGATGGGCCGTAAATTCCAAGCTACTTGGCGAGGAGGAGCTGGAAAACAACTTGCGCGCTGCACTGTCTCCATCTAAAAAAAGCAAACCTGGCCTCAACACCATCAGCCATATGGGTTTGGGACATTAATAACAGCATACGTATTAGGTTGGACCTACCCGCAAGAATTTGATGTACAGTCTTGAAGAGAGGATTTATGCTGTCTGTTTCCTGTTTTTGTTGCTTGTTTTAATAGTCTTAATGGTCGATTCCAAGTATCTCCTGTTCCTCCAGTTTGCCAGTTTTCCACCCTTTGTTTCTGCGCAGGCTACCTGCCTCTTGCTACCTAGACGTTGAGAATCCGCGCGGGCTCTGCTCTAGTCCGGAGACAGAGGGTGTCTGCCGACTTTCCTTTTTTTTCATGGGGGAATTCAGATGTTGTGTCACCTCTTCTAGTTTTCTATCTGGGGCGCAAGGGCGAAAGCTGGAGTGTCACGCTATTGGTCAGGCTGGGGCTGGCCTTGTGCGGGAAGAGGCGGGGCCCCAAATAGTCCCTCGACTTGGGGGCGGAGCTTCTTCGCCTCCCGGGGCGGGGCGGAGCGGAGGGGGCGCTGTTTTGCGTACGCCGGTTCCCCTGTGCGCGCGGGTCTCCACCATGAGTGGCCTTTGGCGGCTCTTGCGCTTGTGGAAGGTCCGGCTGTTGGGGCCGGAGAAGCAGTACGTGGGGAGCGACCCCTTCGGGAACAAGTATTACCGGATCGCCAAGCATGAAACGCTGGGAGGTGAGACGAGAGAGGTTCGGGACGGGAAAGTCGGTCGCCTTTGCGCGCCACGCTGCGGGTCTCGAAAGTTCCCCTTGGATCACACAATGGTCTCCCCCGGCTTTACAATTAATATACACAGTAATCTATAGTGCATCTTTCTTTAAAACATGTCTTTGTGCTTATTCTCCTTATTTAGAACATATTTTAGAGTAAACTTACATTAGAACATACTGTATGTTATTTGGATCAACAACATAGAGCTGTCTTTACTCGTGGAGTAGCACAGGAACGAATACACACACGTGTTCCTGTGTTACTCCATGAGTAAAGACAGATAGTAAAGTCAGCGGTATGTTGCGTGCATGTGTGTGTGTATATAAACATGCTATAAGTTACTTGGATATATACATATGTTCCTGTGCTATTCCATGAGTAAAGACAGTAAACATAGAATCCACGAATTCCTGACATTTTTTAATTAACCAAGTACAGTATGCAACTAGCCAAAATGTCACTTGTTTGCTCTTCGGTGGATCTTATTTATGCTCTGCAGGTTACTGTTGCATGTTTGAAAAGTTCTGTTGTGCCAGAGAAAATGTGCTGTAAAGCAAAAGCCATCCTTCTTCATTTTGTGAACAGCTGGCACAGCCAGCCTGTCACTGTTTTTGTCATTTCAATTTACTGTTGTGTCATTTTGTAAAATAAGGCCCAATGCTCTTTACAATACTATAATGAAATAGTTACAAGTTCGGGGGAAAAGGTTTAATATAAAACTTGGTGGACCATATCTTCTGTTAGTGGGCCCCAACAAGCTTATCTGGACAGGATTCTGAGTGCAGGGTCTGACCATCCTTTATATTGTCCAGTTTGTCTCAGATGGATGGTGAGTTGTGCATGGTGAGAGATCAAAGGAGTGGCCACATCCAGCCATTTGGCACTACATGCAAAAGAGAGCTGTCAGCGATCCACAAAGGGCCCTGTCCAGGGCTTGGAAAAGTTACTTCTTCTGAACTCCAACTCCCAGAATCCCCAAGCCAGCATGGTCACAATGACTCGGAGGATTCAAGAAGTTGTAATCTGGAAAAAGTAAATTTTTAAAGCTGTGGTCCTTTCATTGTTGGAAGTTTGATAGTTTTCCAGTAATGCAAGGTTTTGATATCAGCATTCCTGTTCTTGAATATGATTGCAGTACTCTGCATATTTGTTTACAGTAAATATCCATTAAAACTTGTGGAATTATCTCTGAATAAGGATTGGGTAAATGCTTCAGATGTTGGGAAAATGTGAAGGCAAGAGGAGAAGGGAACGATAGAGGATAAGATGGTTGGACAGTGTTATCAAAGCAACCAACATGAATTTTACCCAACTCCGGGAGGCAGTGGAAGACAGGAGGGCCTGACATGCTCTGGTCCATGGGGTCATGAAGAGTAGGACACAATGTAACAACTAAACAATAACAAATGCTTCAGAACATATTTTAGAGTAAACGTACATTAGAACATGCTGTAAGTAATTTGGATCAACAGGCATCCAAATGTGTGGGTACACATTTAATTTCCTTCAGCGTTTAGGTGTAATCTAGAATTTGGGGTTCTTGTATTGTTTATGGCATGGTGTGGCATTCTCAGATGTTGGTGACCTGGCATATAGTGGTGCCTCGCTTAACGATTACCTCGTTAAACGACAAATCAGCTTGAAGAGGTTTTTGCGATTGCAAAATGACGTTTTAATGGGCAAAATTCGCTTCCCGACAATCGGTTCCCTGCTTCGGGAACCAATTGTTCGCATTATGACGATCAAAACAGCTGATCATCGGGTTTCAAAATGGCCACCCGCTGTGTAAAATGGCTCCCCGCTGTGCTTTAGGATGAATTTTTTGCTGCACAGGGAGCAGAAAATGGCCACCCTATGGAGGATTTTCGCTGGACGCTGAAGTATTTAGCCCATTGGAACGCATTGAACCAGTTTTCAATCCATTTCAATGGGCTTTTTTATTTCACTTGACGAGGATTTCGCTCTACAGTGATTTCACTGGAACAGATTATCCTCGTCAAATGAGGCACCACTCTCCTGTGTTTTCTGTGATTATTTGAAACCAAGGATATTTTATAGACTAAAATTCCACCAGTGTCAGTGTAAGGTTTGTATAACTTGCCTTGGCTAATTGGTGATGTGACAGTCTTGGTAGTGCATCTCTAGTCATATACCTAGTCACAGAACCAAGATGCACTCTTGACAGTTTGTCAGGTAACCATAGCAAGTAATTTATGTGAATGCCAGCTGGACTACAGCTGTACTCTTATACCTGGAAAGAATAAATGTTTTATTTTAAAAATCTATATACTGTTCCTCAGTGTACCATTTCTGAAGCGTTTCACAGATATAAAGAAATTGAATAAAACATGGCACAATAGCAGCAATAAAAACTGAATTGCTCATGAAAGCAGCATAAGAAGAAATAAAACGAGAGGCTAAAATTAATAATGCATTTTCTTCAACCGTTCTTTGACCAGAGGACAGATACTGCAAATATAATTTCAGGGAAGATGCAATTAATGGGTCAAATCCTGTTGGTGTAATATTACACCACGTAAACCAGATCCAGAGCCAGTAATATTTAATTTAAATGAATCAAAAGCTTTTCTATCCCTTCCCGTTCAGGTTCTGAGGCTCCCTGATGCTCCCTTGTGCCCTGGGAAGCCTTTGGGAGCCTCAGAATAGGGGAGGAGCCTTTAATACTCAAAAATCACTGTTGAATTTCAGGTGTATCCCCTTAGTTTGCAGCAATAGTATGTTTTATACAGAAATGAAAACTAGCTGAAATGGTTAACCTACAACCTTTACACTTTCATCAGTGTACATGGCAGCGTACATTCAAGCATACAGTATATTTGGAAATTGAGTCATGGCAACTGGACTTCTTTCTTGTTAGATTGAAACATTTCGCAACTCATCCAAATAGCTTCTTCAATCTGAGAAGAGATGGTAGGAGATCCCTGATATATCCTCCATATTAGTTTCACTTCCCCTGGTCTGAATAGGCTTCGTCTGAATGGACGAAGTATGGGGGGGTGAGGGATAATCCCACCTCTGGAAGTATGGGGGGGGTGAGGGATAATCCCACCTCTGCAGTCCTTCTCCGCCCATTATCATGGGTCATTAATGGTCATTGTCTTTCTGGTGTGTGTGGTCCTAATCTTTCTGGGGACAGATGAAAGACAATGGATGCCTTTCAGGACAATGGGTGGCAATTACCTTAGGTAATACAGATGTCCTTGGACTGCTACTCCCAGAAACCCTGGGCAGCATAGCTAAGAGTGAAGGCTTCTGGAAGATGCAGTCAAGAACACCTAGGTTATCCAAGGTTGAGAACCGTATTTTTCACACCATAAGACACACTTTTTCCCCACAAAACAGGGGGGTGGAAAGTCTGTGCGTCTTACGGAGCAAAGAAAACAGATTATATTTTCCTGTTTTCTTCTCCTATAAAATTGGTGCGTCTTATGGAAAGGTGCATCTTATGGAGCAAAAAATACGGGTATGTTTAAGAGCTATCATTCAGTTGGCTCAATCATCTCCTTATTCGATGAATCAACCAGGGTGTTGATTCAGGTTCAGTACATCTAGGAGTTTGAAAATCCCCTAGAATATTCAAAGATCTTTCTGGATCTGCTAGTCTCTAAAAGGCAGATTGAATTATTATTATTATTAATACCAGTATACTATATAACAACAACAATAATGTACTATCAAGTCAATTCTTTCCATGGTTTTCTAAGTAGAGAATACACAAGTTTACCATTTCCTTCTTCTGGGGGCACTTTGGGACTATGCACCTAGCCCAAGTCCACACAGATTGCCTCTTTTACTGGAAGGCAGAGCTGGGTATTGAACTCCCAACCTCTGGCTCTGCTGCCAGAAACCTAAACTGCTGAGCTCTCTTGCCAGCTAGACTGAAATAAAGATCAGTATACAGTAAATTATTCTGAGATCTCTTGTTGCCACTGGAAAAAGATGGTATTAGAACCAGCAGGGGGAGTCCTAACCACTTACAGTGGCACGTTTTGCTTTAGCCTAGTTGGTTTCTTTCTTGTTTCTGAAGAAAATAGTAATATACAGTATATCAAAGAAGTGAGAACAACCACTCACATTTCTTAAATATTTTAGTATATCTTTTCATGTGACAACACTGAAGAAATGACACTTGGCTACAATGTAAAGCAGTGAGTATACAGCTTGTATAGCAGTGTAAATGTGCTGTCCCCTCAAAATAACGCAACACAGCCATTAATGTCTAAACCACTGCCAACAGAAATGAGTACACCCCTAAGTGACAATGTCCAAATTGGGCCCAAGTAGCCGTTTTTCCTCCCTGGTGTCATGAGACCCGTTAGTGTCACAAGTCTCAGGCATGAAGGGGGAGCCAATGTTATCATGCTCACTCTCTCAGACTGGTCACTGGAAGTTCCGCATGGCACCTCATGGTAATGAACTATCTGAAGATCTGAAAAAACGAACTGTTGCTCTACATAAAGATGGCCTAGGCTAATCTTAAACCCTGAAACTGAGCTGCAGCACGGTGGCCAAGACCATACAGTGGTTTAACAGGACAGGTTCCACTCAGAACAGGCCTCGCCATGGTCAACCAAAGAAGTTGAGTGCCCGTCCTCAGTGTCATATCCAGAGGTTAGCTTTGGGAAATAGACGTATGAGTGCTGCCAGCATTGCTGCAGAGGTTAAAGGGGTGGGTAGTCAGCTTGTCAGTGCTCAGACCATACGCCGCACACTGCATCAAGTTGGTCTCCAGGGCTATCGTCCCAGAAGGAAGCCTAAAGATGCTGCCCAAGAAAGCCCGCATACGGGTTGCTGCAGACAAGCAGACTAAGGACATGGAGTTCTGGAACTATGTCCTGTGGTCCGATGAGGCCAAGATAAACTTATTTGGTTCAGATGGTGTCAAGTGTGTATGGCGGCAACCAGGTAAGGAGTACAAAGACAAGCGTGTTGTGCCTACAGTC